AAACACCGGGAATTTGGGATAAAACACCGGGAATTTGGGATAAAACACTGGGAATTTGGGATAAAACATCAGGGATTTGGGATAAAACACCGGGAATTTGGGATAAAACAGCAGAGCCTCGGCCCGGCGCTGCCGCAGGGAGAGCAGATCCACTGGAAAATGGGAATTTGGGAATAAAAAGTGGGAATTTGGGATAAAAATCAGGAATTTGGGGAATTTTCCTCACTTGCTTCTGCCTTGACTTTGTCCATCTCGGCCAGGAGAGCCACCTCCCGATCCATGAGGCTGCAGGAGAATGGAAAAATGGGAAAAATGGGAAAAAAACAGGGAAAATGGGGAAAAATGGGGGGAAATGGGGAAAATAGAGGAAAAAATGGGGAAATACGGGAAAAAAAACAGGGAAAATGGGGGAAAATGGGGGGAAAACGGGAAAAATGGGGGGAAATGGGGAAAAATGGGGAAAATGGGGAAAATAGAGGAAAAATGGGGAAATACGGGGGAAAAAACAGGGAAAATGGGGAAAAACAGGGAAAATGGGGGGAGAAAAGGAAAAAAATTGATGGAAAAAGGGGGGAAGGGGAAAATGGGGACAAAACAAGGAAAAATGGGGCAAAAAAATAGGGAAAAAAGGGAGAAGGGGGGAAAAGGAGGGAAAGAAGGGAAAAATAAGGGGGGGAAAGAGGAAAAGAGGAGAAAATGGAAAAAAGAGGGAAAAAAGAGGGAAAAAAGAGGGAAAAATGAGGGAAAAATGAGGGAAAAATGAGGGAAAAATGAGGGAAAAAAGGAAAAACTGGGTCGGGAAAGCGCCGCAGGAATTTCGGGAATCGCCGCCAGGGGGCGCCGGAGCCGCGGGAAAATCGGGAATTGCGGCCGGGAAGGAGCAGGAGGAATTCCCAAAAAATCACCCCAGAATTCCCAAAATGCTCCAAAAAATCCCCCCCAAATTCACAAAATCCCCCCAAAATCTCCCAAAAACTCCCCAAAATACCCCCAAAATTCCCCCACATCCCCCATAATCCCCAAATTTCCCCCAAATCCCCCCCAAATTCCCGATTTTCCGGGATTTTGGGAATTCTTGACCAGCTCTGGATCTCTCTGAAAGCCACCTTGACCCTTCTCAGGGAGCCTCAATCCCAAAACCTCCAAAATTCCCATTTTTCCCCCAAAATCCCCATTTCCCCCCAGAATTCCCACATGCCCAGAATTCCCAAATTCCCCTTTTCCCCGGATTTTGGGAATTCCTGTTGCTCCCCGTTGGAATTCTCCATCCCAAACCCCCCAAAATTCCCATTTTTCCCCCTTGAATCCCTGCTTTTCCCCCCTAAAATTCCCATTTACGCCCCCAAAATTCCCGTTTTTTCCCCCAAAATCCAATTTTTTCGCCCGGAATTCCCGTTTTCCTCCCCAGAATTCCCGTTTTTCCGGGATTTTGGGAATCCTGACCAGCTCTGGATCTCTCCAAAGGCCACCCGGACCCTCCTCAGGGAGGTCTCGACCTCCTCCCGCAGCAGCGCCCGGAACCGCGCCAGGGCCACGGAGCAGCGCTGCAGATCCTTCAGGGAGCGCTCCAGGCTGCAGCCTGAGGG